GTGCGGGTGGCTCCCCCCCCGGAGCTGCCATGGCTGACTTCTGATGCTGGCTGGGCAGGACGGGCGCTGTGGCAAACCTCAGGCCGCAGGTCTGAGACACGCTCCTGCCATGTGCGCCCAGCAGCCTCCGAACTCTTTAAGAGCTCGGGTTACCAGGAAGTCCAGGGCTCCTACGGGGTCTCGCGCCGTCCAAACCGCTTTTTTCCGTTTCTTCTCCTTTTCCGGAAAAGCTGTCTACACTGGCCCTTTTCCAGAAAAGCTTTTCCGGAAAAAGGACTTTTGCCCGATTGGGAGCAGCGTAGCTTTTCCGGAAAAGCGGCTGATTTTGTACAGTACAGCGTTGTTGCTTTTCCGGAAATTCAAGGGGCCAGTGTAGACAGCTCGCAGCTTATTCTGGAAAAGCCGCTGATTTTACGGAATAAGTGGCCCAGTGTAGACACAGCCCTGGAGTATTGACAGTTCTGGGCCTCCCACTACAAAAAGGATGTGGACATATTGGAGAGGGTCCAGTGGAGGGCAACCAATGATTATGGGGCTGGAGCATATGACCTGTGAGGAGAGGCTGAGGGAGTTGAGTCTGTTTAGTCTGCAGAAGCGAAGAGTGAGGGGGGATTTGATAGCAGCCTTCAACTTCCTGAAGGGAGGTTCCAAAGAGGATGGAGAGAGGCTGTTCTCAGTAGTGACAGATGGCAGAACAAGGAGCAGTGGTCTCAAGTTGTGGTGGCAGAGGTCCAGGTTGGTTATTAGGAAAAACTATTTCACTAGGAGGGTAGTGAAGCACTGGAATGGGTTACCTAGGAAAGTAGTGGAGTCTCCATCCCTAGAGGTGTTTAAGTCTCAGCTTGACAAAGCCCCAGATGGGTTGATTTAGTTGGGATTGGTCCTGCCTAGAGCAGGGGGCTGGACTTGATGACCTTCTGAGGTCTCTTCCAGCTCTATGGCTCTATGATTAAATGATCTGGGCAGGCTACGAAAGACTACTTGATTGCTGCAATAATTTTTTACAGATTGAATTATGAATGATTCTAGTTTGTATCATTGTTGATGACATTTACGTTGTTTTTACAACTGAACAAAAATAAAGTTTTTTCAAAATTATAGTATGCACTTTTTTATGTAGTTAAAAATTAATTTCAGTCGGAGCGCGGAGCAAAGCTGGAGCAGTCACTATTGATGCTGGAGCGGAGCTGGAGCAGAGCAAATCAAAAATTTGATTGCTCCAAATCCCTGTTCAAATACAAGCAGTTTATTTCCTGACTATCAGCTGTGCCCCTTAACTAAAAGAACAACATGATAGGAAAAGTGGCATTTCTTACATCCTTTCTGGTAGCCGGGGAACCCGTTTCAGCTGCGGATGAAGTGGAAGACTGTCTCAGCTTCCGAGGCACCAGTATCCAAAGCCCATCGGTGAGGTCCAAATTGCCGTGCTTTGGTGCAGCTTTAAATACTGTGTCTCTACTTTGTTTGTGGCTGGCAGTTTGGAAATTTTGGGGGGTTACTCGTTACTTGTTACAGTATGGCTCAGCTGTACTGCTTGTCCTTTGACTTTGTTTACATGATCAGTACATTTAGGTAAACAAGATTATGTTCCCGCCCTTATCTACAGTTCGTTCTTGCTACAATGGCGTATGTTTCTAGAGCAGTGTTTCCTGATTTTATTTGGCCACGGAACCCTTTTCAGCTTAAAATAATTTCAAGGAACCCTTAGGGTTCCCACAGTAAAATTTGGAAAGCAAAAAAAAAAAGAAAAAGTGCCCCTCCAGAACTGGTTGAGCAAAAAACCTGCAAAATACTCTGTCTCTTTAAGAGGGGGCGGGGCAATGCCGCATTCTTGCGGAACCCTTACTTTCGCTTTGCGGAACCCTGGGGTTCCACGGAGCACCAATTGGGAAACACTGTGCTAGAGGCTTGATTTTGGCTCATTAGTAGCAGGGAAGGGCGGCGGATGGTAAAACAGGGAGAATGCAGGCCTCACTACCTCTATGCTTAACACGTACGGAGTTCTTCTGCAATTGACCCCTACATCTGAAAAATAGTGTTTCTTTTCTTTATCATTTTTACGGTGCATATATTTATAATAAAAATCATATACAGTTGTACTGTACACTTTTTATTCTGTGTTGTAATTGAAATCAATATATTTGAAAATGTAGAAAAAAGTAAAAAATATTTAACAAATTTCAATTGGTATTTTATTGTTTAATAGTGTGATTAAAACAGCAATTAATCAAAAAATGTTTACTCATAATAATATCTATTGCAACATTTGACCTGATTCTAAAACTTGAGTAGCTCCCTATGCCCACAACCCTATGGTTTTTAATTGAGCAAACACCCACCTAGAGAAAGCCTTTGTTTATCTGTCCCATCTGCTTCTTGCCCATTTTGTGATATACTTTTTGCAGCTTTGCTAATAATGTATTTAGTGTCTGGTTAGGGTAGGGAGGAATTAAGCTTGTGTGAAATCAGTATATCAGGAAACTATTATACTCTCTTGAGATACACTAAATGTAAGTATGTGGGGTTCATCCAAAACCCATTTAAATCAATTAGGAATCTTTCCACTGATTTCTTTAGATCAGGCCCTCTGTGTGAGATTTTTACAAAGTTCTGCAGAGATAGGAAATAGGGAATAAACTGCTAATTTGATTTTCTGATTTATGTTCATTGTGCTGACTTGCCTTGGAGTAAGGCCTCTTAAAATGAAATTTTCCGCTGTTGAAAAAGCTATATTGAAAAACAACAGCTGAAGAAATTGAAAGTAGAGTTCATCATATTAATAATTTTGTTTGATATATACTTTATATGGAATATTCAGATCTTGTTTTCTCTTGGTCACAGACAATCTATCACAACAAGTTTGTGTTACCACTGATATGAAAGAAGATTCTATGCAATTAGGTTTTCTTCTTCATGAAACTCTGAAAAGTCAAGTAAAAGTAAGTACTAGTGTATAGTACACTAGAGGGCTGCGTCCCCTTCTCATTATGCTCACCAACCCCCCTCTCATGGGGGCTAGGCAGGCCGAACTCTCCTCTCGGCCACTGTGGAGGGACAGGCTGCAGCAGCGCCAGCCATGGCCCCTTTATTCCCCCCACCAACTTTGGCCCTTTTTCCCCTCCCTAAGCTCCTCCCACTCCGACTGTGCCATCTCGGGCCCTTTCTTCTCTTACCTCCCCTCATTGGCCATGCCAGCCTGGTCCCTTTTTCTTTCCCCCCCGGCC